GAGCAAATAACTTTATACCATGTTGATGTTTGTAGTATGATCTAGAAGAAAAAAATATATATTTATATAATTAACACTTATTGGGTATTCCAAAATTGTTGCAACGGATGAACCACACCTCTAATGTTTTAAAGCATCTTCATTTATAAATGCATGAGGTGGAAGAAATTCAAAATGATTGCTATAATAAATCCGACATGATTTTTTTCAAGTTTACGTGTAAGATATAGGAATCAAAAGCTTTAATTTAAAAAATTACTTTGCAATTATCATATGTAATTTTTATATTTTAAATGCATGAGTGTAGACGAAGAAGGGATTTTTGAGATCTCGGATCCACAGTTAGTGGTTTAGATGCCATCAATATTTCTTAACTAATACTTCATCTAGCTTACTTCATTTTAAAACATCTCCAAGCATATCCCCCCTCATTAAGCTTTTTTTTCCTTCTCAAAAACTTAGCGACCTAAGCTACGACATAAACACGCTACATCGATTATTCGTTCTAACTAAGTCTTCTATCGAATAATCTTTCATGCCTCCTTGCACTTTCCTTTCCTTCTCCTTCCTAGCTTGGCTATTTCCTCTTTTAGACATCTTTTTTAAATATTCTTTATCTTGTTCTCCTAAATTCTATTTTTTTTCAGTAGCGTCACTAGGGAAAACGCAGGAGCTCGAGCTCTCTAGATATTTTAAGAGTTTCCTGAAAATTTTCAAATTTTCTTTTTATATATCAAATGTAATTTTGATAATGTTGGCTAAAAAAAGGTGTAAAAATTTTTTTTTTGAGTTGTTCCCTGAGATTGTAAAGGCAAATAGGCACCCCTAATTTTTTGTACTTCCGCCATTTTTAATTTTATTTTTATAAATATAAAGTAATAATTGAACGAAAAACGTTTTTTTATTATCTATTATTATAAAAAATTTTAAATTTTATAGTGGTATAGCATAAAGTGAGGATGTTTCGGCCATTTTGATTAATTGAGATTTAGATTTAAATCAGAATTTTTAACTCCACGAGAATCATTGGAAGACAGAAATGCCGGAAAATATAATATAATAAAATAACGTGAACTTGTCACATGACATTTTATTTATTTAAATTAATTAATTGATAATATTGTCATATAATATATATCTATTTGATGGGAGGGGAGGGTTTATTTTTGTTTTTTTATAAAGTCAACATTATCAAAACTATGTGATTTATTTGATTAAAAATAAAATAAATTCAAGTTAAATAAAAATATTATTAAAAATGAATTAAAAAATATATATGTATAAAAGAGAAATGAGATAAAAAAAATAAAATTAAAAAAAAGGGTACAAATCACCCTAGAGAAGAGTGAATGCTTAAAAAATTGGACCGGCAGATTTACAGGGAAATCCGCTGACGAAGATAAAATCCTTCATTGGGGTCCCCTGAGATCTGCATTTTTTATCCTTTAGTTTTGATGAAATTGAGAACATCACTTCCATGCGGTATTGGTGAGGCAAGCATATTTGTTTTTTTTATGATTTCAGCCTTTTCGATAGCAGAAAAGGAAAGGTTGGACTTGGCGGCAAAATTGACACAGGTATAGTCCCAAGCTAGTGGGAGACCATTGGTCCAGGGAATGAGAGATATGCCATCGAGGCGTATGGCGTTTTCGTTTGAGAGGCTCACTGGTTCGAGGGTGGATGGAATATTAACATTTTTTAAGAGCAGCTAAGAGGATGTTGTTAATAGATTTATGACGCGGTTGTCGTCCATGAGAGAACTTGCAGTGCAAGGGATGGTAAGCTTTCGATTCGATGGTATGGCCATAGTCAATGCAAATTGAGGGAATCACGGCATTACAGCCAAGGCGGAGGGCTATGTAAATGCGTAGCTGTTCGCCCAGTCAAGAGGAGGCCAAGATTGGAACTGTGGATGGCTTCCAGCCATTCGTAACCTGAGCTTGCAATTATTAATAAATTTATATTTATTTTTTCAAAAATGTGCAAGATAATAAAAAAGACATAAAAAAATATAAAAAAAGTTTAAATCATCATTAGTGTTGTGAAACGGCTCAATTTAACCCGATTTTTAAAAACGGCTAACTCAGCATTTTATCCACAAATATATTATACGCATGCGTAAATATTTGGCTCATAGGTGGCACGTAGGATTGAATATCTATTGGCGAAATCTCGACGCTTAGGTAATACTTTCCCGGCTATAATTTTGAATTAGCGGTTTTTAAAAATCGGCTCAAATCGAACCGTTTAGCAACACTAATCATCAATTATATTATTTCGTTTAAAATTGATATACTATATACTTATAAACTACTGTCGCATATATAAATATAATCTGTAAGAAAAAAGTATAGTAATCAGTGAACAAAATTATCTTAGATACTTTAAAATTGTGTGTCAACTTTTAGAATTACCAAAGTCCTCTTAAGTGAGACCGCCTGAATATAAAAAAAGGAAGTTAACCAGAGACGGCTTATCTGTAAGCGATCTTACCGCTAAAATCTTAAGACCTGACGTAAGGAAGTCCCGATTTTGGTTATAATTTAACAGTAGGGCCCAGGTCGCACCACAATCGCTGCTGAATTTTTTTTTTTTACAGATATAATCTATCAAATGATTAATGATTATTATATCGAAAATAATGAAGATCGATTATATTTATTTTAGCAAGTTGGCGTATTTTAATATAATTAATAATATTTTGTTTCACATATTTTTGGAGATCTACATAATTATGAAATTGTAAGGCTCAAGCTGGGATTTTAAAAAAAAACATTAATTTTTACAAAAGGAAAATCGAAAATAAGAGTAAATGAATATTGAACTTTCAATTTATTATATGATTTTTCGAATATTTTTACAAATGATTAATTTGATATAATTTTTAAGAAATATTTTTAAATTGGCCTGACCCGGCCCTAGTTTTGGTTTAAAAAAAATTGGGGTGGCTAAAAGCGGATAACAGGAACAGATCATCTGTTTTCCTGTTCCGGTTAAAAAATTGTGTTCCGTTTTATTTCACGTTTCGAAACTTTCAGGAAACACGGTTCTTAAAATTATTTTTACTTTTATTAATACACAATTTTTGATCAACTCTTACTTATTATATATAGATCAATTTATTGCGTCTAAACATTAATTAAGACATTCTCTAAGAAGATTATCTTTTATATTTGCGACGTGGTATTATCATTATATATATAGGATCAGTTGCTAACATTTAAGTATTAATTAAGATATTTTTTTAAAGGATTATGTTTATTTTTTGCTCTTGGGGTTAATATATTAAATTTGAGTGTCGAAAACCCATATCTCAAGACAACTAACTTGGTTATAAAGTTATCTATTAAAAATTTTAACCTTTTTTATTTTATACAAATTTTTTTTTAAATATTATTAATCATTTAAAACATAGTAATATGCTTAAAATGTGAGTTAAAACATTGTTATGTGAAGCCCACGGGAAAGAAAGAAAAACTTATCTATAAATTGAGCTAACTATAATATAAATATTATATTTATAATAAAATAAATAAATAAATCTCTCTTTTTCGGAATATTCCAGAAATTTCCCGAAGATATTCATCCGTTCCAATAGCGCTCCATAATTTCCACCAAATTCCGTTTCCTGAGAAACGTTCCCTTCCATGTCCCCGGTTAAAGGTTATATATCTTCTATCATTTCTTTTTTAATATGATGAAGAAAAAAAACAAGTATAATTAGGAAAGTTAAATAAGATATAATTTATTTTAGAATTATTTCTCAGTTTTGATTTTCATAAGTTGATTTGTCTTGCAGGATGATTCCAGTCTGCTAAACGGCATGATTGTCAAAACTTACGGATTTCGTTGATAGATGTACTAACCTTTTTGCCATCTATGATCGAAAATCTCCAGGTTTGCCCAATATTTTTTGGCTAAGATATCGGGTTAGTCGTTTTGATAAATTGAGCCCAAATTTAACGACACTAAATTAGTGATCTATATTGGGATTAATTTGTGCTCGGCCATAAGTTATTTCCAAAAAATTAGCTCACGTGCTTTTCTCTTGTGACCATCTGTTATCATTTAATTTTGACGGTGAAGGCTGTCTATTTCAAAACTGCATTTATATAATTTGATATCCCTTTTTAATTGAATTTTCTTTAGCTCTTGTGGAAACGTGTAAAATCAATTTTCATCCACGTCGATGTTATATTCTTCCATGCCAATCAAATCCATCATACTTTCGATATTATATATATTTTTTTAAACTTTATTAATATCTTTCCTAAGACAAGATCCTAAGTTGTCGGAACTATGGTATTTAAAAGTGTTGAAATTTTATGGAGCATATTATATCTTTTTTAAAAATGTTTACTTAAAGGATTTTGTCTAACGAATAAAAGTCGAATCATTTTAACCAGCCCCGCCCAGACTTAAAAAAAATTAGCCCGCCCACTTAGATCAGGGTCTTGCGCTGAACCCAGACCGTTGCAGACCTCTAATATGGGTTAGGGTTTATATTAGTGTTGATAAACGGCAACTCAATATTTTAGCCTGAAAAATATTTCCCGAGACTCGAGATTTCGCTAATAGATGTCCAAACCTTTGTTCCCTCTACAAACAAAATCTTCAGCCTTGCCTAATATTATTCAGGGTGAAATATTGAGTTAGCCGTTTTTAAAAATCGGCTCAAAACGAGCCGTTTAGCTACGCTAGTTAATATAATAATTAAAAAACGATGGCTTAATAGTCGCCTACTTTGCCAAAATAAAATTTTTTTTTAATAATTTTTATTTTTTTTTTCAAAATAAAATGTTGTCAATTTTCATTTTTTTACCATTGCCACGTATTATTTAAGTATTATTTATTGTACGAATTTTTTTTTAAAAATCAAATTTAAATAATTAATTTTAAAAAAAAAATTAATTTTTTGTTTTTAAAAAATATGATGGATAAAATAATTATTAAAACACTCGCCTTCGAAGAAACTTGGAATTTTATCAGTACCGTAAAAAATATGATGGATAAAATAATTATTAAAACACTCGCCTTCGAAGAAACTTGGAATTTTATCAGTACCGAACTGGTAGAACGCAATTTTTCTAAGGCGGAATTATACATTCGATATCACGTGTCCAAAGATGGTTGGCTAGGAGCGCTGGATGAGCACAACAATGTAATCGGTTAGTTTGCAAATATTTTATGAATATTAATTAAAACGAATCTCTCTATATAAGATTGATGAGGAGGATATTATATTATTTTATTATGTACAAATTTCGTATTTCTTCCATACTACTACGTGAGTATTAATATTTTTAGTTCGAAAAAAGACACAAAAGAAAGAAAAGGAAGGGGAAAAAAAAGAAAGAAAAGAAAGAAAGAAAAGAAAGGAAGAAAGAAAGATTGAAAGAAAGAAAGTTTTGTTTTATTAGAAAAAGGACATTCAAATCATTGATTTGTAACCGGAAAAAATCAAAAGATTTAGGTTAGTATTTTAGTAATTCAAACTGAAAGACGATTAACATGATGATCATAGTTGCCTGGAGTCCGAAATCCATTTGTTTTATATAATATAAATTATAGTGAATTTAGAAAATATTGTGGTTCCTTAAAGCAAAGAAAAAAAAGTAGGGAAATTTAATCACTAAAATAGAACACTACTTTTGCTATCAAAACCTGGAGCTTCCTTGTTTGGTTATGGTACTGCATTTGAACTCTCACAAAAATTATCATTTCGATAAAACTTATACTTCAATTTGTAATGCTGCCAATTATTAAATTGCGATGTTTTGAGTATCATTGCAATCTAAATAAAATTATAAACTAATTAATATAGATATCGAATTTGAAACATTAACATAATTTAAGAGTTTTCCTTTTATTCATAACTATTAATTACACCATAATAAATTGGGCGGAATTATAAAAATTAAAATAAAAATAATTAAAGAAAGAAAGAAAGAAAGAAAGAAAGAAAGAAAGAAAGAAAGAAAGAAAGAAAGAAAGAAAGAAAGAAAGAAAGAAAGAAAGAAAGAAAGAAAGAAAGAAAGAAAGAAAGAAAGAAAGAAAGAAAGAAAGAAAGAAAGAAAGAAAGAAAGAAAGAAAGAAAGAAAGAAAAAATTAAAAGAAAAAGGGTTATAAAACGAAATAAAATTCAAAAATAAAATAAAATACTTTCCCAAAGATTTGGAAAAAGTTGATTTAACACAAAATCTCAATTATATATCTTTTCTTTAAATAATCATTAACGTAGTCTATAATCTTAAATAAATATCGTTATAATTCTTTTATAATTTGAATAATAATTTCTCGTTTTCATTTAAATATTACAACACTATTATTACTTAGCAAATGTCTTAAAATAAATAAATTGATTTAGGCTCAGTCTTATAAGAATAATTTAACATTATTTAAATCCATTTTTGGCACAAGAAATTTTAAATATAAATAGTAATAAAAGTAAATGGTGATACATCAATCATTTAATATAACATTTGCCATGTTATATGCACAGGCGTAGCTCAAGAGGGTGAGAACTATTAGATAGGTTTCCCCATCCACCTTAAATTTTCATTGGAAATCTTTAGCCTTCTATTTATTGTAAGCTTTTGGCTATATTACATTTTTTATATTAATAGTCGTTTATTTTTTATCTAATATTTCTTGCGTATTCTTGTTTGTATAGTGATATATTGTAAACAATTTTTGTGAGAGAATAAGTTGGGAGATGGTTAGGAAATTCTATTTTATCACTTAATCTTTTTGTTATGTCTAAACAGACAGGAGAGATTTTATTGGCATGAAATTGAAATTTAGGAGATCAGGCAGCCAATGAGTTGAATAATCATGGAAGTCGATTTTTTTTCCCCCTAAATACAAAATTGTAAAAATGTTTTAGGTCTTATATATAGTTTACCTCTAGATTCGGAGAAGGCTTGTATTGGTTGGTATTATGTAAAAAATCAATATCGAGGCAAAGGTTTTGGGAGACTCATGTACAATAAAATGATGGGTTATTTGGGAAACAGAATTATTAGCTTAAACGCTTCGCCAAAAATGTTGAATAATTACCTGCAGAACGGTATGACGGGACCTTATTTTAGAGGTAATATTTAACATCCAAATTTTTAAAAATTTAATTCATTTCAAAAATATATTTAGTATCAGTATATCAGACTAAAAAAAAGCTAAATAGTCTTTTGAAGACTTTTCTAACGAATCCACCATTTTCTAAGTCCCTTTTAACAGAATATAAAATAATATCCGCCCGCGACGTAGCGTTTTACGCCCTTTGCGAATATGATACTCAAGTCCACGGAAACGTAGCCAGAGAAACATATTTGCGAGACACGATTGATGCAGAAATTTGTGAAGGTAAAAGTTATGAAAAGGACACTTACGTATGTTTACGAAACAAATTCAATAAAGGCGTAGAATCGACACCGTCAAATTATTCTGATTACGAGATAGTCGGATATGGCGTATTAATTCGTAAACATTACGGTTTTTCCATTGCCCCCTATACGCTGATACACCGGAAATAGCTCTTGCCTTGACTTGGAAATTGCTTTATCAATTATATTTAAAATCCAATCCCACAGATAACCCAAATTTAAGTGTATCCGAAATTATTGAATTTACCCAGGAGGTTAAATATGATTTGAGTCTACAGCATGGTGAGGACCCTGATTCTGAATTCATGATAACTTTTTGCGAAGAGTTTGCAGACTATGAAAATATTGAATGTTTAAAAGTCAGGAAAGATATTGAACTCAATAATGAATACTTGAACTTTACCAGTGCGTATAGAAACATTATGTTAAAAAATTTTAACATGGAAAAGAAATTGGAATATTATAGATTATACGACAAGCGATACTTAAGATTACCATTAAATAAAGTATATTCGATAGTAAATGCAGATGCTTTTCTATTATAATGTGATAGCAAAACTATAATAAAAAAAATTTAATATCTATTTCTAGATTATATATTATCTAATAATGGATTAATATCTCTAACTTGTCTTACCTTTTTCTTGTTAATCTATTTATGGACCCAATAAAATAAGATGATTATCTTAAACTACCAGCCCTCTGCCGAGGAGAGTGTAGCGTGGTAATCATCAATAGCACGGAATCAAAGATAGCCATGAATCACAAAGCATGGGATATCAAAGTTTTATATAAAAAAAAAAAATTTAAATTTAAAAAAATTTAATGTATCGGCCATAAGATAAATGAATGTTATTATCAATAGCTTATTTATTTAGCAGGAACAATGATAGGATAAAAATCAAAGGAATATTTACTAATATTATTCAGAAGAGTAAGTATATTGAGGATAAAGACGAATGTTTGTTCGGGTAACCAATCCTCAAGTTATTTATTTTTTTAAAAGGTAGGAAGATATATTTATGAATTAGATATATATATAATATTATTAAAATTAATAAATATATCATACCACACGTATCGTTCTTTTGTGATTTGTGCAAAATTTAGAAATAAATGGGAATATTGTGCCTGAGATTACCAATATAGGTAAAAAGGTAGGATCCCTTAAGAAAGGACATATATAATTTTAAATTAAATAATATAAATAATCATACCATGTATTTATGAATTTTACCGAAATAATCAGCATGAATAAAATTAAATATTATTACTGAGAGACCAATTTTAACAAAAAAAAAAATAGGATCCCTTGTGAATAGATATAGAATAATATTTAAATATTTAACAAAATATATAGTATAACAACCATGTATTAAATGTAAATATCCTATTTAAATAGTAAAAAATAGAAAAAAACCCCATAATCGTTTTTTTTTAAAATATGTTACAAAATTTTCTTATGTTGTTAGCTACCGTGCTTAGAGATCTACAAATAGGCCCGGCCCGAACCCAGCCCGGCCCAAACGGGCTTAGGGCCGGGCTAAAATATATCTAAATTTATCAATTTTATATTGAAGTATTTATGTAAAATAAAAACACTCGATTTTATTTATAGAAATTATGCCATTAAACATATGCCCTTTTATTCTGAGTAATTATAAAAATTAATTTCTATATTTAAATAAATTCGGGCCGGGTTGGGAGGGCAAAACTTTTTTAAAAAAATTTCGAGTTCGGGCCGGGCCGGCAAAATATTTTTAAATAATTTCCGGCCGGACCGGTTTTCTCCCCTGTAACAATCCCCCCCCCCCCAACTGTTGTATTTATTTTTGACGGTGGATGCTCTCTACTTTAAACTGCGTTTATAATTTAATACCCCTTTAATTGAATTTTCTTTGATCTTGCGGAAACGTGCGAAATGAAGATTTTCATCCACGTCGATCTTATATTCAAACGAATTTATTTCCTTACGACAACATCCTCGGTTGTCCAAATTTTTGGTATTAAAAAATGTTGAAAGTTTATGGAAACATACATTTATTTTTAAAAATGTTTACCCAAATAATTTTAAATAACTAATAAAAGTTGGAAAAATTTTAACCTTCCCACCCTCCCATGCCAGCCCGTGTCCGTTCGCCCACTTTGCTGGGAACCTTGGGCTGACTAAAACCCAGCCCGCTGCAGACCCCTAATTTAGATTAGGGTTAATATAATATTAAATAACAATGGCTTAATAGCTACCTACTTATCTAAAAGTGATTAATTTCTTTTTACCTATTATAGCCATTATTTATTATACAAATTTCGTAACACGCACCTTATTATTTATATAATAAATATTTAAATCAATTTAATTTATTTACATTTATTTTAAAATTTCAATTTTCATGGTTAAAATAATTATTAAAAAACTGGCTTTCGAAGAAATTTGGAATTTTATTAGTACTGAACTCGTAGAACGCAATTTTTCTAAGGCGGAATTATACATTCGATATCACGTATCCAAAGATGGTTGGCTAGGAGCACTGGATGAGCACAACAATGTAATCAGAATTTTTTTTTATAGTGTTGTTAAATTACCTAACTTTTACCATCTCTACTGTGGCTTTAGTTAAGCTTTTAGCCTAAAAAATATTAAATTAAGCCTCTAGGTTGAGTCTCATCTTGAAGATTGATTAGAATATTATTTGGCATAAAACATGGCTACGCTGCATTTTATAGTTGACTTAAGTTAGGTTGTAACCGGAAAAGATTAAAAGACTTGGGTAGTATTTCAGAAATTCAAACCGAAAACCGATTAAAATAATGATTATAGTTATTGGGAGTCCGAAATCCGTGTGTTTTATATAATATAAATTATAATGATTGATAAATATTGTGGTTTCTTGAAGTAAAAAAAAATGATTAGAAATTTCATTACTAAGGAAGAACTCTATTTTTATCATCAAACCTTGGAACTTCTTTGTTTGGTTATGATGATTTAATTGCTTCTTGAACTGTCACAAATTATCATTTCTGTAAAACATAGACTTAATATGTAATGCTAATAACTTAACAAAATGTCTAAAAATTAATTAGTTCAGGTTTAATAAGTATATTTTAAAATTATTTTGAATCCATATTTTTTGGCTCAAATTAGTAAAATTATAAAGTAAAAGATGATACATCCAAATCATTCATTATATAAAAATGCAATGATAAATGCATAGATGTAAACATGATTTTGTTAAAAGGGGAGCACTATTAGGTATGTTTTTCTTCCATATATTTTACTGGAGGTCTTTAGGTCTACTCATTTGTAGGCTATTATTACATTTTTATAAAAAATAATTTTGTATTTTTTATTTTAAAATATAATTAACTTTTACTAAAAAAAGTTTTTTTTTTCATATTCTTATTTATAGTGATATATTGTAAACAATTTTTGGAAGAGAGGGAGATGGATTAGGAGAAAGAATTTTATTGGCTTGAAATTGATAATTACTAGATTAGGCAAATTTCAGAAGGGATGATAAGTGAATATCATGGTAAACGATTTTAAAAATTGTTTTTACTAAATGTTTTAGGTCTTATATATAATTTAACTCTAAATTCGGAGAAGGCTTGTATTGGTTGGTATTATGTAAAGAAAGAATATCGAGGCAAAGGTTTGGGGATAATCATGTACAATAAAATGATGGGCTATTTGGAAAACAGAATGATTAGCTTAAACATTTCGCCAAGTATGTTAAATACTTACCTGCAGAACGGTATGACGGGACCTTATTTTTAAGGTAATATTTAACATCCATGTTTTTTTTCAAAAAAAAATTTAATTCATTACAAAAAATAATAATTTTAGTATCAATATATAAGACTGATCAGACTAAAAAAATGCTAAATAGTCTTTTGAAGTCTTTTCTAACGAATCCACAATTTTCTAAGTCTCTTCCACCAGAATACAAAATTATGTCCGCCCGCGACATAGTGTTTTGCGTCCTTTGCGAATATGATATTCATGTTCACGGAAATGTGGCCAGAGAATATTTGCGTGACACGATTGGTGTAATAATTTGTGAAGGTGAAAGTTATGAAAACGATGCTTACGTATGTTTACGAAACAAATTCAATAAGGATCGTTGTCATCAAATTATTCTGATTATGAGATAGTCGGATATGGCGTATTAATTCGTAAACATTACGGTTTTTCAATTGCCCCCCTATACGCTGATACACCGGAAATAGCTTTTGCCTTAACTTGGAAATTGCTTTATCAATTATATTTAAAATACAATCCTAAAAATAACCCAAATTTAAGTGTATCCGAAATTATCGAATCTACACAAGAAGTTAAATTTTGATCAACAGTGTGGTGAGGACCCTACTGGATTTATGATAACTTTTTGCGAAGAGTTTGCAGACTATGAAAATATTGAATGTTTAAAAGTCAGGAAAGATATTGTACTCAATAATAAATACCTGAACTTTACCAGTGCGTGTAGAAACATTATGTTAAAAAATTTTTAAATGGAAAAGAAAATGGAATCTTATAGACTATACGACAAACAATACATAAGATTACCATTAAATAAAGTATATTCAACTGTAAATACAGATGCTTTTCTAATATAAGGTGTAAACTAAAATAGGAATTCAATATCTAGATTATATACTATCATCAATAATATCTTTATCTTATTTTTTCTTGTTAATCTATTTATGGACCCAATAAAATAAGATAAATTTTAATAGCATGATTAAATATGGACAAGAAATCATAAAATTGAATTCTCTAATATTGATTACAGTAAAGGGTACGTCAAAATATAACCTAATAATGAATATTATTTTGGAATATAAAGATAGGAAATATAGAAAAACAACAAAATTATTGCAAGAATCTACAAAAAAAAAAGTTAAAAATGAATGTTGAATTTTTAAACCCAAATATTAAAAAGGATCTCTCTTTTGTCAAGAGAATTTAAGATTTTTGAAAAGTAATGACTACAGAGTACAACATGCAAACGGATCTTGAATTTCAAACATAGCTATTTACGGTACAGCTCAACTTTAAATATTTGACAAATCAAAATTTAATCTTTAATGTTAGAGAAAATTTATCTAATGTCCATTGCAATCTTTATAACTCAGTTTAATTAATCAGTTATATATTTAAATATTTTTAATAAAGAACACAAGAAGAATTAAAAATAAACGAAAATATACTAATAAATTTAGAAATACACAGAATTATAGAATTACCTATATTTCTCGGAAGATTTACATAAAATTTCGTGTATCCATTTCTTATCTAATAAATAATTATACAGAAATCCGACTCTTAGGCAACACAAAAGACCAGGCATATACTTATATACTCAAAAATTGAGTGAATAATTTAAAAAATATATGTATGTAAAAAAAATAGAATAGTATTGACGTGATGCCTAATAAGGGTCGGGGTTTTATATAGACAACTCATTTTATGTTACAATTACAAAATGTATAAAACACTTATTTTTTGAGTACTCCTACCTACACGATATCCGATTTTGGATCCTAGAATTGCAAGATGTTGAATAGGGTGAAAAAAAAAACATTTTAATGAATTTAGATATAATTGATTTTTTAATCGCGATTCAAAATCTTATATTAAAACACGGCCTAAAATAAATTTAGATGAAATTGGTTGATTAATACTAAAGTAAGGGAGGAATATTTGCCCCACAAAGAACAACATAAGCAAGTTTTGTGTGATTATATATTTTTTTCGTTAAAACTAATATATTCTGTATTATTATTTGTAAAATTAACAAGACTAATTTCCTATAGTACAAATATTATATAGTGCAAAATCATATTTTTTTTGTTTGCGACGTTGAAAATTTGCAATCAACCTCAGAATATACTAAAACACTAAACAATAGATATAATAAAGTGTATACTGTACTTCGTTTAATTATATTTTAAGGGAAAAAAGTTTAAAATTTCGTAATAAATTAGATAAGGATCAGAAAAATAAGTCTGTTGGAAATAAAAATGATACCCTCTTTAGTCCATTGGTACTTTTAGGTGACAGGATTTGAGCTAGTTCATTCGATATAAAAATAGTAGAACCATATTATCATAAAAAACAAATTTTATGATAAAGCAACGATTATTTATATACAATTATAATTCAATGATTGATACTTTAATGGTTCGAGTTCTAGACAATAAGCGATATATAGGATTTAGCCACCATTTACATTGAGATAGATAACCTCTTATTTGAATATATTTGTTCAAAATTTTAATAATTAAAAGGATCCTTTGCTTAAAAATACCGTTTGGTGTACTTGTGAGTAAAGGCATATTAAATATATGGGGATTAAGAATCTGTCAACAAGTTAATTCTATTTCCCATCATAAAATTATTGGCACCGCCTATTCCTTAACTTGTCTAAGATGTTATAGGTGAAGGATCCACGCAGACTATCCAATCAGAATGCTGCTGTGCCTCCGCCTTTTAACATTTTGAGGCAGAGCCAAGGGCGTCGCTAGCCTTTACAATCTTAGGGGGCTCAACTAAAAAAATTCTATGGGGGGCGAAGCCCCCATATTTCCCAATTTGCGGGCCGGGTTTTATATTAATATATTATACTTTTTTAAAATTAGTTAACTCTGAACAATTATTCTGATTTTCATATTTTGTCATTTATTGTATTATGCATACAAAATAAACTGGCATATAAAATACCACATAATGAAATAATATAATTCTTACAACTTACATTGACGTGAGATATTAAATTTCTAAAAGATTATCTTCCCTTTTAAATGATATATAAACGACTACACAGTTGACCATTATTGTTTATCTAAAGTATGCAATCATATTCTCTCAGCCGTTGTTGTAATAATCTTAAATTACATAGCAACACAAATAATATACACTGGTTAATTTGCTGTAATAGCCATGACACTTACGATGTAAACTTATATCAGAATTTATTATGTTGGATAAATTGGTAAAATAAAAACACTAAAAATCTTTGAAAGAAATAATTATGCAAATATATTGCAGCCTGGAGTTATTTACACACAGCAATGCCATATTAGAAATGAAACATTTTCTAACTATAAAATAAGGACCAGAATGATATGATGAAACAATTAAGATTTTATATATTGTCGATATTATATCTTAAAACAATAGTAGTTTGTAATAATATCAAAAATATACTTGTATTAAAAATTTAATTCGAAACTGTTTTTAGAAAAAGAAAAAAAATAGAGAAGAGAAGAGAAGAGAGAAGAGAAGAGAAGAGAAGAGAAGAGAAGAGAAGAGAAGAGAAGAGAAGAGAAGAGAAGAGAAGAGAAGAGAAGAGAAGAGAAGAGAAGAGAAGAGAAGAGAAGAGAAGAGAAGAGATCAAATTTATTACATCTATTGCAGGATGAATAATAAAATGTTTAATTTTTATAATTATTTATTACTAAATAGATGGTGTTAAATACTTGAATGCATATTGTTAATATATTTATTATCAAAACCATTTATTAGTGAAATTTATTATAATATTAACTGTAATATATTATATAGTTGTCAAATACGTCTATAAAAGTGACATTTTATCTAATATTTTATAATGAACTGTATATAATAGAGGATTATAAACTATATCTTTATTTATTTACTTTTTATAAAATAATCTCTTATACTTATTTGGATCATGAAAATATTTTTAGGAATAGGTATGACAATTAAATTTAAAATAAATATACAGTTGATTAGTCATTTTGAACTCGGCTAATTACAATATTAAATTTGTTAATTTTAAAATAATATATGATTATATTTATTTAATTAGGGTTATATAATAATTTAAATATTAAAAGTCAATTAAACTTCAACTGTTAACGCTAAATTAATATTTAGTGAGTTATTGATATTATATTTTTAATACAGAATTTGATTGCAAGCTGATATAGTGAAAATATAATTTATATGTATTAATTTAATCTAATAATTAAATAGTATTCATTTAATAAAAATTTAAATAGTCTTATTAATTTCTAAATAATAAAATTAAATCTATATATTACTTAATGGAATTATAAAAGAAATCATTCAGGGAGCTATCAAAAAAATTTATTTTTAGTTCAAGGGGATATTAAGGAGCCATTAAAAAAAAAATTTTTGCTTTAAGGAGCTCGAGCCCCTGGGCGACCCCTAGCGACGCCACTGTCTAGAGCTGTCATCAGGGGCCGCTTAAATTTCTATGCTAATAGATGAGGGGAATCCGATAATAAAATTTTAAAATAATTCAATTATAAAATATAAGAGAAAACTATGTATCATGAATAAAGGAGCACAAGATATTGACCCTGCTCCTTAGAATTTGGCTAAATTAATTATTGCCCCCCCCCCATGTTAAAGCGCTGGTTCTTATTAATAAATGATAATTTCTCTATATTTAAATGATTAACCAAACTCAAATAATTCTCACGAAATACTGTTTCTTTTGACATCTCAGACTATCAATATCATATTCTTATGCTAAGCTAAATTTTTGTATGTACACTTTAATTATAGGTAATATTTATATTCATAAAAATAAACCTCGAAAAATATGAGTATTAATTAATTAGTGAACAATAAAATATATGGCGAAAATTAAAATTTATTAATATAATTTTCTTATATTATCTAAATCAACAAGCAAATAATTCCATTTGATTGATTGGTATATATTATAAACGATAGCATAGAATAAATATCTGACAAGTATGTTTAATTTATATTTTAATTCAATTTTTTTTTTTTTTTTTTTTATAAAATCATTTTTTTTATTTATGATATAATTTGTGTAAAATAATACATAGCGTTAAAATACTAAATTAAAAAAATTATAAAATAAAATAAAATAAATAAAATAAAATATTATATAAAAACCGAGGTGGGACTACAAGTTCCCAAAAAACATGTGTAGTTATATTTTAAAATTATGATTTGGAGGTTTTGTTTTAAGAAATAAGATTCTTTAGGTTCTGATGTAAGGGCTCTTATCTTATCCCCTATATTTTTTAAAAACTTGAAAGTTCCACTTGGCATATGTCCAAGGGAAGAGATGACAATCGGTGTAAAAATATAATTTGTGAATTTGGAATATTTCATTGTTTTTTTTTCTCGGCTATATCGGATTAGAATTTAAATTTTTTGGGAAAGAAGATACGCATGTGAAGTCCCAAATTAAGGATTTCCCTAAAGACCAAGGCACAAAAGTTAAACCATCTGGTCTTAAGCCATCATCTAACGATAAATTTGTAGGCTCCAGGATGTTTGGTATTCGGGCCCTGGTAAAAGAACGGCTAATAGCTAAATTAATTGCTGCATGCCTTGCATGCCTGCCTTGACTATATATACAATTTAGACCATGTCTCCCTTTGGAGTCAACTAATGTTTTACATTTGATGCATGTATGTGGTTGAACAATGTTACATCCAAGTCGATGGCCTATGGCAACTCTTAATTGTTCATCTGATAGTTACCTAGGTTACGACTTGGTAATGCTTCCAACCATTCATAGCCACTAGTACAGTCAGCATTCTGTAATAGTTGAATATACTCCAAAGGGGGTTTTGATGAGATTATTTTAAAAAATTTTTTAATTAAAGGTTCGAAAAGAGATTGGTATGTTAAGATCGTGGGTAAGACAGCTTCAGGTGGAGCTAAAGATGTCCAGGCTGTCAAGGCTGAGTTTAAAAGGTTATCTTTAGGAGAGATAAAAGAAGATATCATGGCGTTATTCATCAAACTCGATGCCAAAAATGAGGAAAGAGATAGAAGGTTTAAAGGATATAAATCTAAAACCACCCATTTTCGAGGGTAATTGTGAGAAACCCCAATTAAAATCTTCCAATTTAATATTTAAAATATTTTCTAATAAACTTCTAAAAAATTCATGAACACGATTAATAATTTCATTATTTAAAAAAAAGGAAGAAGATCTAAAAATATGTACTATCTTTGGTAAAAATAAATATTTTTTTAAAAGAAAAAAGCTCTGGTGTGAAGGAATTTCGTTTAAAATAGTTTCGAGTCCTGATAAGCCTTCGAAAAATTTTTCCACGAACACCTCACAGTTGGAAAAACTGCTTAAAGGTGAACCTAGAAGATTAATTTTACTTTTTTTGATGATTTTAAACCCTTGGACTTTGAGAGTATTTGAATTTAAAAAGCATATTTCCGATTTAGCTTTATTTAGAGTAAGGCCTATGTTTAGAGAATTTTTCTCTATATAATCTATCGCTGCAAGAATATTTTTAGAAGGTCCGCAAATGGTACCATCATCTAGATACCATATGTTTTAATCTAAATTAAAAGAGGATTTTAGACAATGAACTAGGTTATGTATACCTAAACTAAAGATCAGAGGGCCCAAAGGGTCTCCTTGTTGAATACCCTCGTCAGAAGGAATTGTATATTCCCCGAATTTGAGAGGGGTTCTACAGCCATAAGACTGTTCAATAAATCTTGCATAAACTGGGAATTTTTCATAAAAAATGTTTAAAAATGTTTTTCTGGATAAAGAATTAAAAGCATTTTTAGAGCTTACAGACTACGGCGTCTGGAGGAGGATCTTCGATATATATGCGAAGAGAGTGAGCGGCTATTTCGCATCCCCCTTTAGTACCAAAGCCTAGTTGATATGTTTGGAACATTTTTTTGAAGCATCAGGTTTGATGCGCTCAACGATTATCTTAGCTAATAGTCTCCTAAAAAAAGACCCTATTGCGATTGGCCGAACTCCACCATCAGGCTTAGTAAAAGCAATTAATCTTGCGCCAAAAAGGATTTGGTGAATTTGACTGTGGATATTTAAATCATACAAACATACTAATCATATGGAAGCCAAAGAGTTTACAATTTTGAGTGGTAATGCAGATTCAGAATTAACGAATCTAGTGTGCAAGTTTTATATTAAATATTACATACATATATGTAAAATTTAAATATCAGTCGTTTAGGTATAAAGCTTGGAAACTGTATTGTGGTACAAATGCCTAACAAAGGTTATAAATTCATTGAATTGTTATATTAATTATATAAATAGAAACGGTAGTTGATATAGGAGATTCAGTTAGAGGTAGAGATGTTTTTATATTACAGACCATATCAAAGTTTATTTCTATAAATTAACTTATATTTATTTTATTTCACAGAAATGTCAATAATAGCTTAATGGATTTATTGATTTTAACTTATGCATGCAAAACATCATCTGCTAGACAAATTATAGGCGTTATACCTTATTTACCTTATTGTAAACAAAGTAAAATGAGAAAAAGGGGGTGTATTGTCTCAAAACTATTAGCGCAGATGCTTTGCAAAGCTGGTAATTAAAAAAAAATTTTAAGAAAATGAGCAAAAAATTATAAAACCTAGTTTAAATATTAGAATATTTGTAATAATTTATTTTAACTTAATTTGTATATTTAATTTCTGAATTAAAACTTCTTATTTAAATTAGGTATGACTCATGCCATTACAATAGATTTGCATCAAAAGGAAATACAAGGATTTTTTGATATACCTATAGATAATTTGAGGGCCTCTCCTTTTCTGATCCATTATATTCAAACTGCGGTAAATACATTTGAATTATACTGCTAATTAACCTTTAATTTATATTAAAAATACCTTACTGAATTTATGCTTAAATCACTTATTTTTTTTAGTTTTTAAATTTTAATTTAAAAAAATATATAATCATGAACACCACTTAGAAAAAAAAATTCAAGAACTTAATTATTATAATGTAAATGAAGAGTGTAACTAAAATACCTATCAAAGAAGCTAAATTTATAAGAAATGAATGCAGAAATATATATCTAAAGGAATCAACAAAGTGTTTATTATATATATTTTAAAGTATTTTATATATTAGTGGGCTTTTGAAAAACACTTCTTTTTTTACTAAACTACCTGCCCCCACACTCCCTCGGTGAATATTCATTATTTTTAAAAAAGAATCATGTTTAACTTTTCAAGGAGATTCAGAAAATGGTGGTATAAAAAATTTTTTGATTAAATTACGTGCCCCAATGAACCGCACCTTTAAAAATATATGAACCATAACACAATTATTTTTTGAAAGAGTAAAAAGTACCTTTATAAAAAAAGTTGAACCGGGTTAAACTATTTCAGTCAAATTACATTCTTTTCCTTGTGGTGTATTACATCTTTTACTATATCTGCGTAGTTATTTATAATTATTAAATATCAAAATATTTGCTTAATACCCCATAAGAAGTATCTATTAATTTTTCACTATGACTTAAATTAATCCACAATATTCTAACTGCTTCATATAGTATTGGAGCATTCCTATTTCCTTATAATTTAGTATGCAAAATATCTAAATAACCAATTTTTGATTTAGTTGCATTTAATTAATCTAAAAAAAATCATCAGTTTTTATATATTGGGAATCAAAAAAAATTTGAATATCCGGAATTTTATAAACTTGTGTTTCCCGCAACACAATTTCTGTTAAAAGAACCTTTTTTGGGGCTAAAATTTGCAGGGTTGTGCATTTGGTCAAATAAGATTCGGTCAATTGACCGATATTTGACTAAATGATTTTTAAGACAATATTAATTCTATTTTATAGTAAGAAAATGTATGTATATTAAATTATTTTCTAAATTCTATGATTAATGTTTTGCTCTTCATGGCAGAGCCTTGTTCTAATTTATATTCAATCTTATCATTTTCTTTAACAATTTTTTTAAAATCAATCTTAAGTTATGATATACTCCTGCCAATTTTCTGGATTGTCGAGATCTTCAATCGGATTTCTTAGACACTTCTCTTAATATTCAAGGGGAACAAAGCCCGTTCCAACAACTTGAGCCCGAAATCTGATTGTTTTTTATGAAAGTTACTGGTTTCCACATATCCTATTAAATACGCCGCTTTTGCTTCCGAAATTTATGATATCACTTATAATATTTTGATGATCATCTCTTTACAAAGCGACTACTATTATGTATTATGTCATATGCTTTATCAAACTCGAGTAAGATGCTCCCCTTATATTGGGGATCCAATAAATAATCAGCAGTGGAGTGTGAGCACATGTATGTGGAATGTTTTCTATTTCAAACATATCTTTAATATTTTTTTCTTCAGGTTGGTAAATTATAAAATCATGGACAATTGTATTATGTGTTTTCTAAATTAAGCATTTCGTTTTTCTTACGTTAGCCAAGGTCAATAAGATAGCTAAATATTTTTATGAATGTCCAAAATATCATTTAATGTACTCTTGGTAATTTCTCTCGGACAAATATCCAACTTCTATCAGCAGCTGCTTTCAGAGCTTTCTTGCATATTTGTATTTGCTAGTTACATTTAATTGATGATGATATGCCCATCTTGTTTGGATAATTGTACATAATGTAATATAATTGGCAATTAGTAATTTTCTTCAAACCATGCTTAAGTAAAAATTCTTAATATTTTAATATGAAAATTTTATAATTTTTATATAAAAATTATAATTAAATCGATACCTTGGAGATACAACTATATTTTTTTTTAATAATTTGTAAATAAAAGTTAGATTGATAAATATGCTTTAAGTACATATTAGTTCATTAAATAAATATAGTTATTCACCAATAACATTTTAGAATATTTTGACCGTCAAATACTCCTCAGTCAATTGACCGACGTGCCAACCCTGTAAATTTGTGTTATCACCACAAGGAACAAAATATGAATCTCCACTTATATTAAAAAAAATATATGACTTATTCGTTCAAATATTATATTTAGCAGAGACTGCAGGCCCGGCCCTAAGCCCGGATTTTAATTTTTTTTAAAATTTGCCGTATATTTTAAAACCAAATATTTGAAATCGCCATTATTAGCTGTAAAAATCAAAAATAAATAAAATATATTTTAGAAAAATCCGGGCCGGGTTATACAAATGGTACCTCAGCAGGTCTCTGATATTTAGAAAATGAGTTACGATTCTTATAATATTATTCATAGATACTTATAATAAAAATATAAATTTATTTTATATATTTTAAATAAAAAAATTATTAACTTATGATGGGCAATAATTTTAATATACACGATGGTGTTGCTTCAAATAAAAATAATTTAGAAGAAAAAAAAAAATTTGTAACCTTAAAATGAACCTTTTATAAACCCTTTGCAATTAGCCGTACCTCACCGAAACTTTATAAAAAATTACTATCATTTTCTGAATCTCCATGAAAAGTTAAACGATGATTCTGCATTCATTTTTTATAAATTAAGCTTCTTTGATAGGGGTCGCGTAAGGGCGCGTATTTTAGTCATTAAAGCTGGCGCGTAGTTTTCGGGTTCGCGTATTTTAGTCACGCCCAAAGTGTGTTACATTTACCTTTGTCCTTCTATAACTGTGATTCTCTTTGTCGATGGATTTAATAAGATTCTGGCACATCATTCCGAGATATTCGATTTTCCATTTAAAACTCTAATTTATTCGTCGAAGATTCCTTGTTTTTAGATTTGCTAATTTCTGAGCTTTTGTTTGATTTTTTTAAACCTCGACAAATGTTTTCAATTAGAACTTGGATCTGCTACATAGTTTTCCCTTATGATATTATGATCCTTTCAAGGGATTTTTATTTAGAGGGGTAAGACAAGTAGATCCATTTTATAGATTGTGATTGGTTAGTATCTCTAGATGATACCTTGATATTTTAATAATAATTATTATATTATTTATAAACAGAGTACATCCTAAGCCTTATGTACTCACGCAACAAGGGTGGAAGGTTTCTGTATGTTCTTCTAAAGATATAGTTTTTACCCCAAAAAAAATATATATATAATTTTGATACAGTATTGATTGTGTTCTCTGTCGCTCTTTTCTCTAATTATCATATTTTAAATCACAAATTAATCATTTTTTCCCCTTTGATATGTTAATAATATTTTTACGCCTATATGGATTAGCATAATTTAAACAAATTTTTTTTCTTACTTATTAATTTTCGTGCCTATGATTGAAAGGCCACTTCTTAGTAAAGTTCCATCCAATTCTGTGATTGGTCCATTAAAATGCCGGAAAAATTAATAGTTTAAAAATATTTTTATTTATAATCCTTTTAATGGAAATTCGCAATGTCAAACAACATCAAAATTCTTCTTGAATAAGAAGAATTAATCCCGATATAATTCAGAGTAAGCAATTTTAACTAGATATAATTAATTTAGTAATCTAATTTAAAAAAAAAAATTATTCATAAAAAGTGGAAAAAGGACAGGATATCCTATGTTTTAATTACAGATGCTTTATTGCGAAACCCAATAGAGAAAAATGATAATAAAATAACAAGTGAAAATAAAACAGTGATTTGGAATATAACTATCATATGATAATAAATTCCGCATCTTATCGCCATCGTAGAAATAGCCACGGATGGAGATATTTCCCAGTCAGTAAGTTTACAGAAACTCAGGTTCATCCCATAGAACAATTTAAATCACCTGTTGGCAAATCCTTTTTATAAATAATTTATGATACTTATTATTTAGTTCATTAATTTTTATGTATATCTGATAGCCAGCCAATGACTCAATCCCAATTATCCCGAATTAATTGATTAATTCATTTTTTTAGTCAATATAATTGTTCGCTCTTCATGAATACAACCACCACCCCCCAACCAGCTGTAACTGGTTTCATCAATCAGTTTATATTTAGGCAATATGCTTACTCAATATCAACTCCTGGTCACACCAATTTACTAATGACATTTCAAGTATCGCGTGTTAAATTTTTATTAATCAATTAATTAATAGACTATACACTAACTCAATCTCAACTATTACTCTACAACCCTAACAATAAATTAATTCTTTATGACTTTGTATTAAACTATTTATATATATTTTTTAAAACTATTTAAATTCTAACGCCAACTAGCGGCAGAATTTTTATTAATTTTTATATAAATTATAAAAATTTAATTTATAGAACGCTTAGGCTTGAACTATTTTACATGTTATTCTTCGTTAATATTCATAGATTATTGATTTATATTATTCTTAAAAAATAACTTCCATAAGAATCAATTACAGTAGTTTATTGTAATAATAGTTTTAAAAAAATATCGCCATTTATATAAATAAACTCCAATAACCCCAATTGTATTTATCATGTAATACCAATGACATATAATAATACCTAGACTGACAATTCATTCATTAAAAGTGTACATCAATACAAATCAGCTAGAGACGCCATCTTGGTTACTGTAATAAATATTAAAATTTTAAACGAGAGCCTAATTTTATATTATATCTGATGCAAACTTTATTAAAGAATTGCCTGATCATCGAGATAATAAGAAAGTAAGTTATCAATTTAATATTAGTTTTTAACATGAAAATAATTATTATAAAGGTTACCAAAATGGCGGGTCCAGCTGATTTGCTTTTAACGACGCTTAAAAATGCATTTTAATGAATGAATCGTCAGTCTAGGTATTATTATATGTCATTGTGTAATACAATCAAAATAATACATTTTTTTCATCAATCCCTTCATTTCACTATAAAAACTGCTGATTTGACATGAT